AGAGGTAACCCTCAAGCTCGTAAAATATAACCACACAACGAGATACCCGATGAGTTTTGCCGGATAATTCTTGGCGTCCCTTGCATCAACTACCGTCTTCGTTAGGTGTAGGAGCAAGACTCCGTGATCAAAGACCTCAAATCTGCTACATTTGCTTTCTCATACTCATGGAAGAATTCATGAACATACAGAGCCTCAACTATGAGACATCTGACGCCATATTGCACGCCTCAGACACACCTGGGCAACGCATTGAATTTCCGTTTTATCCGACGATAATATTCAACGCACTGGCATTATTATGATTGACGTCGCTACGTCATTGGGATAGCCCTCAAAGGATATGGAGAAATAGGGTTTTCTTCCAACATAGGCAAATATGAAGATATACTTATCCTCAGAACATCGCCGTCCTCACCATGGCTGAAGGATGAGATGGACTTGATACATATCATATTCTTGTAGAACACACGTGTAAGAAGGATTGGGATTCGGTTTAAACAATCCGGTTTTCCGAACCCAAAAATAAGGCATCCACCATCCACACGGTTAATCTTTAAGGCGACCCAAAATAAATTATTAGTCCGAAAGGTTCCGATCCTCTAGCGTCAAAAGTTTTAATTGTCGTTTTTCTTTCTAATCAATAATATTGCATTTTATTCAATTGACCACCTTATCTTCTCTCCACCAACGAGATATATCTTGTTCTGTCTTTTCCTTCTCTCAGTAGAAGAAGTATCTAATAATAACCTCACCTCTCCTCTCAATTCTTTTTTTCTAGATATTCATCATGGTTGGCTCTACTGGTTCAACAAAGGTGGATGCAGTCGTCCAACAGGTCGCTGCTAACACCCCAGAGAAGCTCAGTGGTTTCGCACTTTACTCCAGATTTGCTTTGGCAGGAGCTGTCTGCTGTTCAGTCACCCACGGTGGTCTTACTCCCGTCGATGTGTATGTATTAGATTTCTTGTTGGATTTTGCGCAATCCGAGGATTCGATTCGATGGATGGAGAGATAGAAGTGGGATTGGAAGTGGGAGATAACCAAGATATCAAATTACTAACATAAATTTTCTCTACAGCGTCAAGACCAGAATCCAACTCGACCCCGTCACATACAACAGAGGATTGATCGGAGGTTTCAGACAAGTTATTGCAAAGGAGGGAGCATCTGCTCTTTTGACCGGTGCTGGACCAACCTTCGCTGGTTACTTCCTTCAAGGCGCATTCAAATTTGGAGGTTATGAACTCTTCAAGCAACAAGCCATTAACATGATCGGTTATGAAAATGCCGTCAACAACAAGACCGCTGTCTACTTGGCTTCTTCCGCTACCGCCGAATTCTTCGCTGATATCGCTCTTTGCCCTCTTGAGGCTACCCGTATCCGTTTGGTCTCTGACCCAACATATGCCAATGGTCTCATTGGTGGTTTCTCCAAGATGTTGAAGAACGAGGGTGTTGGTGCTTTCTATGCTGGTTTCGGACCAATCTTGTTCAAGCAGTAAGTTTTGAGATTTTCAAGCGATTATATCGTTAGGATACTAATGTCATCAAAAAGAGTCCCATATACCATGGCCAAGTTCGTCGTCTTCGAAAAGGTCGTTGAGGCTATCTACACCAAGGTCGACAAATCCAAGACCTCCGACGGAATGCAAACCACCATTAACTTGGGATCCGGTCTTATTGCTGGAATGGCTGCCGCCGTTGTCTCACAACCAGCTGATACCATGTTGTCAAAGATTAACAAGACCAAGGGTCTTCCAGGAGAGGGAACCACTTCCCGATTGATCAAGATCGGTAGAGAGTTGGGTTTCAGAGGTTCATACACAGGTATTGGTGCTCGTCTTGCCATGGTCGGTGCTATTACTGCTGGTAAGTAAATTCATTTCCACATTTTCACATCAATTTACTAATCAATTTTTGTAGGTCAATTCGCTATCTACGGTGATATCAAGAAGGCTCTCGGTGCCACTGGTGGTGTTGATTTGGCTGTTAAATAAATGATTGTATAGAAGCAGTTGTTTAAAAAGGGTTTACGGGATCGTCGGATATCTTTTAGCGAACCCGCATGCATTTGTTTGTTCCAGCAAACCTTTTCTTCCTCGCCTTTATCGAAAAATACTCCGGTCTGTCTTGAAATAGAGAAGGAATAGATTAGATGATGGACTGGAACTTCTAGAAGAGGATGTGGAGGAAAGGAAGGGCTTTTCATGGCGTCTGTCTGTATAATAGAGACTTCTCTCCAATAGAATAGATAACAATTGGATGTGGTTTATGTTGATTGGTTTTTGGCCTTTGATCTCGAGTGTGATGTGGTGTGCAACGTGAAAGAAGATTGGGACCCGAGTCAGTGATTGTGATGTTGGGGTTTACCTCTGTCTCTCACTTTCTCTTCTTTCTCCTGAATCTGGATCTAGATGTGTAGTGCGAACTTGGGAATTTGTTCCAAGGTTACTATGACGACTCTAGGTGGGAGAGGGGGGAAAGGGAAGGGAAGGGTGTCGAAGATTAATATGGTTGATTGTATATCAAAGTACAAGCCTACATCTCATTACCTACACCTCATCACTTCCCACGACTCTCATTCATGTTGTGTGGTTTTCTACCATTGCATTTAACTCTCCGCTCCTGGTATGGCTTGATCTTGGATGCGTATGGCTTGACTCTGGATGTGTATGGCTTGACTCTGGATGTGTATGGCTTGACTCTGGATGTGTATGGGGTATGGGTAGTAGGTATGGAGTATATAATATGTGATGTGTGATATGTGATATGTGATATGTTGCTTTGTTTATTTATTCCATTTGTTTTGTAAATTTGATGGTGATGATGATGATGATGATTGTGGATTATATGAATTATGTGAATTATGAGAGGGGAGAGGAGGGAGAGGAGGGAGAGGAGGGAGGATGGAAAGGAGGGTTTTATTTGTAGGGGGTGGAGGTGGAGGTGGAGGTGGAGGTGGATGAGATGATTGTGTTGGAGGGGGAGAAGGGAGGGGGAGAAGGGAGGGGGAGAAGGGAGGGGGAGAAAGGAGGGGGAGAAGGGGGAGGATTGGGGTTGGAGTTGGAGGTTTTATGGTGGGGTTAGAGTAGGAGAGTAGGAGATGAGGAGAGCAATACGCGAAGAGTGGTTGTTGTGATACTTTTACTGCATATACATTGTTGGATTTTGTTGAGTCCAGGTATTTTGAAGGGATGGAGAGTTTGAGCCGGAATGAGTAACTTGAAGTTCTCGATTTCTTGACAACTTCTCTATATCAGATTGAGCTATATCCATCTCTTCGATGTAGATGACAGTTGGCTCTTTCACGCAACTAAAGTGTATCTAGCAGTGTTGACCTTGTAAGGAATGCTCGCTGATTTTTGTTTGAATATTGTTGGAATTTGAATTTACTCTCAAGCTCATGAATGGCTTTTTGGGTTCGATTGATAAGTTGTGATGGATTGAGGATATAAATTGTGTAGTTGTTGCTCACAACTATTGGGAGATGGAGATATAGCCTCGAAATGGAAACTTGTAACGGAATGTCAGATTTCAGTGTCGATATTTACTGATTAATAAAGAAATTGTGATATAAGTTTGATAGTATTATAATTTCTAATGTTTGCCTTCTGAAATAGACAGCTTCTATTGGAAAAGAAGAGGAATAGATAATTGAATTCACAAACGAAGAACTTAAGGAAGTTTCACCCTTCATTTGACATTGACAAGCGAATGGCTACTGTACCTCATTCTTACTACTTGATCAAGTGGCCTCTAACTTCAATGATTTGTATAGCAAAACATTTCTTGTTTCCAGATTCAGTGTAATACCAATCAAAATTATGAATTCATATAAGCAAATCCATTTTTGCTAGACCAGTTCATCACTATTGTGAATTAGACACCAAACATTTGAGAGGCTCCAAAGAACAAGCCGTGGTACTACCGAATTGCATTTACATTTGATGTCTAGCTCAACGATGATACTGCATATGCATGATGGACGTATTACCATATGTCAGTCCAGCATCGATATCTCACCGCATATTCATCGAATCAGCTTTCATTTTGTGGCTGTGATGTACGAACGTGTGGTTATTGCGGGGGTACGTACCGGTACACATAGTTATGTACGATGTACTCGAGTATCCAATGGTCGTTCGGTCCTGAAACCCCTCCCTTCCCGTCTTTGCCTCTGAGTCGTCCCAATACCAGGGGAGAGGTCTACATCCAAGTACCAAGTATGTATGTAAGTAAGTTGGAAAAGTGCCATGTGTTGTACAATCGCTGGTCATCTTCTCCAAATGCATATAATTGAGAGATATCTACTAGGTATTCTTGGCAGGGGATAGATAGATGCTTGATTCAACAAATCGACTCCGTCGGTAGAGCAGAATATATGCGGGAAGAACAGACGGGAGGATAAAAAGATAAAAAGATGACGCAGATATAAAATTCAATCCACAATCTCAAAACAATGGTTTGATCGGATAATTAATATTTACATCTCTTTCAACCAATCATTTCAATCAATTTCCATATATGATAAATAAACTAAGCTTTTCTGCCAAGATTTACCAAAAGATCCCAAAACAGCTGGAGCTTACATCCTTGAAAAGAGGGGCAGAGTCCTCGTAAGTTTATGGGAATGATGAATGGAAATCAAGAAGGGAGTCGGAATTTTCCCACTAAAGTCTAGAAGTGATACGAAGACCATTATTCACGGTTTAATCAAGGATGGGTGAGTAGATAGATATCCATATGAATACAAGATTTATCGACTTATTACTCTTTTGATTTTGTTTTCTGTTCTCTTCTGTTCTGAATCATCTTCTTCTCGTCTTTCCACTCATACGATACAACTACTTCCATTCCCATCTCTCCTCAAATCCCACCTCAAACCATCAACATCTTAGTCTTCGAACTCGATCAACAATAAATCATCTCAACCATCAATAACTTCATTATCTCAATTCAACTCAATCCTAATCACCACACAAACAACCACCGCAACAATGGTGCACCTTTCCCAAATCCCTAGCAATGATAAGGTTGCTGCTCCCCTCGTCGAAGGGTTGAAGAAACTTACAATGGCTGCCTCGAGCGAGGAGGATCGATTCACAACTAGTGTTTATGGTTCTAGATTTGCTGCAGAGGATCTGCCAGAGCATGAGATGCCGGATGGAGAGATGCCCAAGGAGGTATGTGATTTGATGCAGAATTGGCATCTGAATGCGAATCTGGAATTGGGACAGAAAGACTAATTTTATGTGGTGCATGAATAGGTTGCGTATCGCATGATCAAAGATCATCTTTCACTCGATGGAAATCCGATGCTGAATTTGGCATCTTTTGTTACTACATTTATGGTGAGTTTGTTGAACGATTTCCTTGAGTTTCATGAGCGTCCCGGTCGTTGGAGTCGTTGAAGTCTTTGAAGATATTGAGGCTATCGATCATGCGCACCAATCACGCTGAGTGCGATTGAATCGAGGGGATTTATGAAATATCTTGTTCAATGCTAATAGTATGTAGGAAAAAGAAGTCGAAGACCTCATGACTGAGAGTTTCAGCAAGAATTTCATTGGTACGTCCACTTTCTTCTCATCCTGCTATTCCGCTTTCCATACCTTCTTTACTCCAACTCACGCTAACTTTTCGGGTAGATTACGAAGAATATCCTCAATCTGCAGACATTCAAAACCGATGTGTTTCCATGATCGGTCGTTTGTTCAACGCTCCTACAAATGAAGAAGGTGATGCTGCCGTCGGTACCTCGACCGTTGGTTCTTCCGAGGCCATCATGTTGGCAGTTTTGGCCATGAAGAAACGCTGGAAGAATGCTCGTATCGCTGCTGGAAAATCAACCGATAACCCAAATATCGTTATGTCTTCCGCTGTTCAAGTTTGCTGGGAAAAGGCAGCTAGATATTTCGAGGTTGAGGAAAAATATGTTTACTGTACTCCAGATCGATATGTAATTGACCCTGAGGAGACAGTCAATTTGGTCGATGAGAATACCATTGGTATCTGCATTATTCTCGGCACGACTTATACTGGGGAGTATGAAGATGCCAAGGCTGTTAACGATCTTTTAATTGAGAAGAACATCGATACCGTCATTCATATTGATGCAGCTTCAGGTGGATTTGTAGCTCCATTCACCGTACCAGATTTGGAGTGGGATTTTAGATTAGAAAAGGTTGTTTCTATTAACACCAGTGGTCACAAGTATGTTCTTCATCCCCTCTTACCTACACGACGACTAACAAAACTCTAGATATGGACTCGTTTACCCTGGTGTTGGTTGGATTGTCTGGAGAGCACCAGAGTACCTTCCCAAGGAGCTTGTCTTCAACATCAATTATCTTGGTGCTGATCAAGCTTCTTTCACTCTTAACTTCTCCAAGGGTGCTTCTCAAGTTATCGCTCAATATTACCAACTCATTCGTCTTGGTAAGCAGGGTTACAAAGCTATCATGAGCAACTTGACAAGAACCGCCGATTATCTCTCCGATTCTCTTGAACAACTCGGTTTCCTTATCATGTCGCAAAAGAATGGTAAAGGTCTCCCACTCGTTGCTTTCCGTATGGACCCAAACTCCAACAAACATTACGATGAATTCGCAATCGCTCATCAACTCCGTCAACGTGGATGGGTTGTCCCAGCATACACTATGGCACCAAAGACTGATAACCTCAAGATGTTACGTGTAGTCGTCCGTGAGGATTTCAGTAAATCAAGATGTGATTCATTATTGAGTGATATCAAGTTATGCTGCAGTGTCTTGGATGAGATGGATAAAGATACTGTCAAGAAGAATCAAGAATATATTAAGTCGCATGCTACTCACTCTGGAAAGAGCAAGCATAACCATTCTCACTATAAGAATGAGAAGCATAGTTTGCAAGGAAAGACTGGAAAGACTCATGCTATTTGTTAGTATGGCAGATCTTTGGATTTTGAACTCATGGTGTCGTTTGGATTGGGTATTCGATGGTGATATTTGAAGGATGGACGATGGAAATATTGATAGAATGGTGGAATGGCGGTGGAAAAGGTAAAAACGAAAGGATGGATGGATGGATTCATGGATGGATTTATGAATGATGACCGCTTAACGAGAAACAAACTATTCGTGGATTTTCAGTTGATTTTAAAAGGAAGTATCTAAATATACTCGACTATATACAAATTCATCTGCAAACTCTACATCGCCAGTATATGCATGTCCTGCTTGTCCTACTATATATATATATATATATATATATATATATATATAAACATCTGCCAATACAGGCTATCGACGCTGATCCGCCTCTATCCGTAAGCGCGTACTTGACCCTAGCTTTTCCCCGGGATCGGCACTTGGACACCCTGTATTTTTCTGTACCAGGTATCTATTACTGTAAGACGGAAATTATCGTTCTAGAAACGGAATTTTGCTTCATCTTGCATCTGGTGTTCAACGGTTGGCGCTCATTGGGTTTTATGAAATTTATTTCTTGTTTGATACCCAATCTCACGATTCATTTTATAGTGGGGTGATTGTTTCTGCGAGGGTGCGGTGCAGTCCATGATAGATTGGGCTTAAGGCAAAGAGGCAAAGACAGGAGAGAAAAAAAGGAAAGGGAACAGAGACACCGAGTACAAAACACTAGATCGACAGTGACGACTAGAAGGGACGAAACGCAAAGGGACGAATCGAGAGAAGGAATCCGGGAAAGACAATACGATACCAGGTTGGATGAGACAAATCAAACGAGCTCAACAAACGAGAGAAAGAAACGACGTATGATGTGAGTGGGGATTCCTGTTTGATTGTGTCTGAGGTTTGCGCGAAGTGAAGCAGAGTTTCCGAAGGGATACAGGAAGATTGGCAAGAGGGCTTACGGAATAGAGGATTTCAGAGCTGCAGAGGAGATATGAGCGCTGGAGGTGGAGCAGGAGCAGGAGCAGGAGGTGTACCGCAGAAACAGATCCGCTTCGTAAATAATGAGGGACAACCGCCTGCGAAAAGGCGGAGGGTTAATGCTGCGTATGTATACTTTTTGGAACAATCGCAGAATGAAGGGGTGATTTACCGAGAGTATAGCTAATTTTCAATGCGACATATAGATGTCGGACCTGCAGGAAACGGAAAACCAGATGCGATGGAAAACGACCACTTTGTTCGACATGTACGGATAATGGCCATGAATGCATGGGGTATGCGGAGGGATCTGATGGAGCTACGAACTCGACAAGGAAAGAGGTGAAAACCCCAGATGGTGGGGAAGGAGATGAGGGGGATTATGCACATTCACATCTGCAGAGGCCTGGGTTGTTGAAAGAGAACTCGAGGGATGCGGTACCGCAACAATTTCAACAAAGAGCGAATACGACTGCTGCACGGACGAGAGTTGAGGTTGATCAATCATATATGCACGATGCGTCTCGAAGGTTGGGAAGTGAGGATATGGGGAATAATCGACCTGGAAATCGAAGGGTTGATTACAGAGATGCAGTTCTATTTCCGGATGAGAGTCCCAATCCGCTCGAAAGGGATCAACCACTTCTCAGTGAAACTACCATCAGTGAAAGCCATCGAGTGCCATATTTCAGATATTTTGGACCAACGGCGATTGTACCCGGATTCAAGCAGATGGTAGTTTCTGTTCGAGAACATAAAAGGAGTATGGGTGCTCCATCGTCTTCTTCTCTCACAATGTCACCGATATCCGCGAAACATTCTAGTGGGGGTTCTGTGAATGGAACACCATCTCAAGCGGGGACTGAACCAAGGTCTGCAATCGATATGCCACTCTATGATCCTAATGATCCATTACCGGTCAATAGACTTATCATTCATCTTGTGGAGGTCTTTTTTGCTCATCTGGGTTGTAATTACCCTTTTCTATCGAAACGACAGGAGAATTTCAAACGGCTGGTAGAAGAAAAGAAAGTTGAACCTATTCTTGTAGATGCAGTTTGTGCATTAGCGGCTCGTTTTTCAGATCATCCACTTCTTACTACTTCACACGATTCACCACAACCGAAATCAGAATATGGACAAGTCTTTGCTCAGCGAGCTAAAGCGGCTGTTGTGGATACATTTCCCTGTCCCACAGTTGGAGCTGTACAAGCTTGTTTATTACTTGCTTATGAGGGATTTGGTGCCAATCAAGATAGTGCGTTGTGGATGTATCTTGGATGTGCCATACGGATGGCTGTGGATCTTGGACTTCAAAAGTTGGATGGTGTGAAACATCAAGGGCAGAAAGATCCAGGATATCATAGGTCGACAAATGAAGGAGAATCGGATGAACCGGATGCGACTATCACGGCGGAAGAGAAAAGTGCAATTGAAGAAGAAAGGATAGATACACTCTGGGCAGTCCTCATGCTTGATCGAGTTATCTCTTCTGGAACTGGTAGACCAGTGAGTCTCAAAGATGAAGATCTCGAATTGACACTTCCATCCGTATCCAATAATACAGAAGAAGCATGGCCAGATCCTTTTCCTGCACTTATCCGAATCATACATTTATATGGTCTAGTTTCAGATTTATTGAATAGAATAAGAGGTGCGGACGATATTACACCCGGGTTGATTAAACAGCTCAAGGGCATGGAAAAGGATTTGACTGTGCTGTATCAAAGTCTGGATGGGAGATTGGAATTTTCAGCGACCAACTTTCAACATTATGTTAAGAGTGGGGAGGGAACAAATTTTATACTTGTGAGTTTTTCTTTCCTTCTGGAAGTATGCCGATATGTTTTGCTAATTAATATCAAGGTTCATTTTTGGTTTCACACCTTAATCATGCTACTTCATCAACCTACTTTGATGCAATCTCTCGAAGGACAAGTTCTACAATTACTTCCTCATAGTCGAGAACTCAGCATGTCATCTGCTAAAACTATTGCGGATATCTTGGCTTTTGCTGAACTCATTGATCCGAGATCATTTATTGGAAATCCATTTACATGTCAACCGATATACATCGCTGGGTGTGCTTTTCTTAAAGAGATTGCGTTACATACTTCTCAACCATCTTCTAGAAACCCCAGTCCTCGTCAAAGCCCTCCATCAGATACTGTGAAACCAGGTGGAAATCACAACAATCAAGGAAATCAAAAACAGAAACATTCATTGCTTGCAGCAGCCGCGAATCAAAACTATCAACGATGTCACAAAGCTTTACAACATATCGAATCTTATTGGGCTGGAACACGATATATTCGAGTAGCTATGGAACAGAAACAAAGTGGAATAGATCCACAAGAAGTCGAAACATATACCGCGGAAGAATATACCGAAGCTACTAAACCAAGACATGAAATTATACCTAATTGGAGACGAAAATTCTCTGCAAATTCCCCTGGTAGATTTCCGGAATTTGTACGTTCACCAATGATGGAAGCACTTCCTGGATCTCCGGCAATAGATTTGGCTCAAGCTATTGGTTGGTCTCTGACTGGAACTACTAATTCTCCAAGTTCCAATTTGACATTCATGTATCAAAATCAAAGTGCAGCGGATCATTTGGAGATGAGAGCCCAGAAAGAATATGGACAGGGAAATATGATCTATGATCCTATTAGACAAAGTTTACCAGAAAATACAGCGGGTGGTACGTCGACTAGTGGAAGGTTTGATAGATTTATAGGGGCTTCGAGGAGTAATCATATGCCTCCTCCAGGACCAAAATTCATGCATGGTACGAACTCAAATATTGATGCTAGTGCAACAGCGGACGCGGAAATGTTATTGGGGTTGGGTGCTGGAGGAAATGGGAGTGGCAGTCCATATCCGACACCGAGGAGTGAAAACCATGCTTTTGATCCAGGACCAAGAAATACGATGAGTCCAAGACCAGGAAGTTCGAGTACACCTGGTGGAGGAGGTGGGTATGATTTCTCACATACGCCATCGACATCTAGAGCGGGAGGATTCTATAATCACAACAATCATAATCACAATAATAATAACGCAAGTAATCTACACGGTAATAATATACATGCGGTTAATGGGCACGCAAACGGATCGGGTAATGGACCGGGAAATTCATATCATACGGGCAATCACACACATACACATTCACACGGTTACATGGGTATGGGCATGGGAAACCATGGGATGGGCGATATGATGATGGAGAGTCAGGATATTGATATGAGGGGTTTGGGGGAGGATATGATGCCTTGGTTGGAGTATTTACCGGGGGATATGTTGGGGTTGAGTGGGTTTTTTGGGGAGGAGGGAGAGGGTGGGGGTGGGGATGGGGGGTAGGGTTTAGATGGGGAGGGAGAAAGAGAGGGGAGAGAGAGAGATGGGGAGGGGGAGAGAGGGGGGGTGGCGGGTGAAGAAATTATAATTATATGGTTATTTAATTGACTATGAAGATTTAATTGAAAATGATAAATGTGAACCAATTTTTTGACGATAGATTATTCGTGTTGACTCTTGAGGGGGTAAGAAAGTTGATTTCTCCTCTCGTTGTAGGAGTGAATGAAAGTCGCTAATTAAACTACCCGGGCACCTACTGTAGGTAGATAGGTAGGTAAGTAATCCAGCAAATCTTGTGTATCCTGATTCACCTCTCTAATCGGTTGAAATCATGCTATTGCCATAATACCTCGTGCTATAAGTCACTCGTGCTATAAGTCACTCGTGCTATAAGTCACTCGTGCTATAATACCTCGTGCTATCATCTAAGGTTACTTGGTTAAATCTTAAATCTTAAATCTTGAATCTCAAATCTCAAATCTCAAATCTCAAATCTTAAATTGTCTGATGGATTGATGGATTGATAATTTGTTTCTCTGTTTGTTTGTTTGTTTGTGTCTCTGTTTGTGTCTCTTGTTATTGTATGGATGGTTTGATGATTTGTTAACGTCAACGCCTCTATGCCTGCCTACCCCCCGCCCTTTTGCTTTTTTTGTTTTTTTTTTTGGTTGATTGATTGATTGGTTGATTGGTTTATTAGGTAGATGATATTGTCTTGTATTGATTCTTTTCTATAACTATAACTTATTACATTTTAAGGTTTTTTTTATTTCTCTAGATATATAGATTACAAATTATTATATTAGTTTGTATAGGGATTTATACTAAACTACATATATATACCTATGTATATATATATATACTTTTGATGATTGATTCGTATCTAATCTTAAAAGCTTAAAGGTATACATTAGTAAAAGTGTAAAATATTTATAATCAATGTTCTCAATTTTTCATGCTTTATATAAGCTTCGAGCTTATATTATAGGTATTGAGGCCCTAGCGTATAGACCTTTATAGAAGTCTACTGCAAGAGTCGCTACGCTCGTTAGAAAAGCGACGATTAGACTAAGAGTAAACTCGTCATTTCTTCTTTGTTTTTAAACTTCCCACTCCCCCCGCTTCTCTTACACTGTCCTCCACTCGCTTAAACGATATTGTCTTGCATCGATTCTCTTCTGTGACTGTAACCCAACATCTCTTCTTCTGCTTCTTCAAAGATATCCCCATTACCATCTGATCCCTCCCCTCCAAAACATACTCCCCATCTACTCATTACATAACTTGTCGCTCGCATAATAGAACATATGACAAAGATTGCGAAACAGACGATTGCGAATTCGATGCCTTTGAGTTGAGGGGTATCGAGTTTCTGTGTTTGGGCTTGCACGGAAAAATTTGTGTTGATGAGATCATCTGGGCTGTGAAGAGATGCGAGAGTGGAACATTTATGCGAGGATTGGATATCTCGCTGTAGAGCCGAATTTTTGTTCTCAATGTGGGTTGGAAAAGGAGAGAGTATAATGATGGCGAGACAGAAAATTAGTAGAGTACCGGAGATTATCTGGATGTTGAGGAGTGAAGAGCGCTGGATGGAACAGTGCCGGAAGTGGTTGAAAGTGGGTTGGATGGTTGAGGCGGTTTGGTGTAGGTGGGTGGTGTAGTTGGGATGTCTGCAAATGCAGAGTTTGCGTGGGAGACATCGGTGGGGAGTGGAGAGGAGAGGGGAAGTTTCGGATGGGTCGCCGCTGGAGGGGATGGGGAAGATGAATTCTGAGGGGGGTGGGGTGGGGTTGTTGTCGTTGGGGGAGGGGTTAGGATTTGTTGCGATGGAAGAGGGAGAGGGGGAGCGAGATGTGGATCTGGATGCGGATGGTTTGGTTGGAGTGGAGATTATGCTGGTAAGCGAGGAGGCGCCGGAGAGGGAGTAGAGTGAGGTGATGGATCTCGGTCTTGGTCTTGGTCTTGGAGACATCTTTGGAGTGGGTTTCTGTATTGTCGTTAGATTAGTCGGGAAGGGTGAATGAGAGATGAGATGAGATGAGGTATTGGAATATAATTGTGGATGTGTATGAATAAAAGAAAAAAATTGTAGATTAATCGAGTTGGATGAATACTTACTCTATTCAGACGTTGCAGGAGTTATTTTGTACGATTGGTTTCTCTCGAGAAAAATCTACGAGATGTTAGAGTTCTCAATTGGGATAGAGAAAAGTTTCTTGTCGAGCGGATGTTGATCTTTTGAAAAGTTGATAGGTTGATGGTGAGTATGTCTCTGGAAGTTCTTCGAATTTGTACGTGGGTTTGTGGAGAGAATTCGTCTTCTGTTATAATGTACCACATTCTGAGGAATTCCATGAAGAGGATTTTGTATATAGATTTTTGAATTATTACGGTTGGTTAAGTGGTTCTGAGTGGGAGCTTGGGTGGCAGTACTCCGATGAAGACTTCAGAAAATTGAGATTTTACGGTTCAGAAATTAGAACTGGCAAACTAGTAACCTTGCTTCATGCTGAATTGTGGTAGATTATGAAGCAATTCTTTCTTGTTCATTACTCGCATCATACTAGTCAAGTACGATGTAGGGATTTCTCTAAATTAGATAATGAGAGGAAATTTTTGCAGTATATTTTTGGTATGGTGGCTAGACGACGTTGATGTGCTTGAACACGAAGCAGTTGCAGAGATGAGTCTGGTGGTCTGAGACGAGAGATGGATAAAATGAATTTTTGGAAAAGACTTACTATCCGAGGATCTAGAATCTTGATCGAGAAGTTTCCATTATTCTTCGTGCATACTAAACCGTAAGTTTTGCTGGAAGATGAAATGATTAGATTATAGGGGATACTGTCTGAAGATTGATGGACTCCGAAATTCACATCTACGGTACTAGATGATTCTCTATCATTGTGGAATCTATCACTAACAAATCGAGTCTATTACAAATTTTCTGGAACTAGTACATTCACTTGCAAAAGTCAACTCCAAAAATTTCACATAGCCCCTTCACTCGGTTCGCTTGCTACGGTAGGTAGATATTCACTCTTGTGACATCATTACATAAACAAATATTCTCAAACGCTAGAAGTTACTATTTACGCGCATTAACAATAGCAACCGTTTCATCAGTATCAATTCACCGTATTGAAATCTTCGGGTTGGATACTTAAGGATTTCTTCTCCCAATCCACTCATTTGATGCACAAACATCTTAATAGATGGTTTTCAATTTCAACTTTAAATCATATTCAAATCCATATATTCAGTCGGGAAAATTTACAGAGAATCAAGAATTGTACAAATATAATAATTAGAATGGTTTTCAGTAAAGGTATAGTCAATTTCTGTTCTACCATTCCTTTCTTTTATCTTCCATCCTGCTTTTTCCATGTTACCACTCTCCCTATTATCTCAGCAAAAACTTTACAGTAAATTGACTAATCACCATAGAAGACTCCAAGGGTTTCCGCGACTCTAGAAAACTCACCAAAATACCAAGAAGTGTCGCAGCTAGTGCACATCCCCATATCAAGATGAATTCCAGTACACCTACATTTAACTCACCCGAGAAATCCTAGAGTAATTGTCCCGCTTGTAGGACTCCCGAGACTCCAACACGGACTTGGAAGATTCCTAAGGGGGATAACAAAGACAAGGACAGAACTGGAAGAACTTTTATCTCAAAGATTCCAAGTAGTCCTGGCTCAACGCTTCGCACGAGCCCGATTGCTTTTGCCCTTGCTGGTCAGGTGAGTTTACGTTATAAAGATGCTCCTAGCATTTCTTCATCGGATTCGGGCTCGACTGTTAGGGAAAAGATCGCTGAGGCAATGGCTACAAATCAATTTGCCATTCCCGATCGTGATCTTCCGCTATCTCCACAGGTTAAGACTAGAACAACTGCACCACAAATGAGTAGTCCTCTCGCAAACAAGGGAAAGAGTTTGCCCACTACCGCTGTTTCGCCGCCTGAGCCCGTTATCATTAAGGGTGTCGTTTCTCAGACGGAATCGCCCCTACTTGTTTCTGGACCAATCGCTTCTCCTGCTGTCCCAAGTCCAGTACACACGTCTGACGCATCGTATACCTCTTCCACGCATGCATCAACAAAAGTCTCCACAGCACCCTCAACACCTAGTGCTACTCGCAAGCCCGAAGAATCATTTCCATCACGCCCTATACAAAAGAAAACTCAATCAACACCACTCCTCCCAAAGCGACATCGTTCCTCTACTGGGTCTTCTCGTCACGTTGTTGCATCCAGCGCTCCAACCGAATTCTATGAGTATCATACCATTAACGGTATCATTGATCTTCCTTTCGCCTCCAAGAAATATTCCTCTGGAGATAGCTCTGAATACGATTCTGGCGTTTCCGGCTCCGGATCGACCTCCTCGTCTCGCACGTCTCTTAAAATAATCTACCGGGGCTTTTTGCATAATGTGAGGCCCAGAGTTCTGGGTGCATATATTTTGTTCGGAGGTTCCATCATCTGGCTTGTTTGGATGACTTCGAGTAAAATACTTTCAGGCAAGAAAGGAAATCCAGGTCGTAGCCATGGTGGGATTGGTGGACATGTTCCTCCATATGAAATGAGCATTCCTATATTGACTCCATCTTTTTCTACTCATGGTACCGAAGAGTTTATGCCTGTTGACGAGCCATATCTCACTACTGGAGGTGTCAACAATCGTCAGGCATTACAGAATCCCGACAAGTCATGTCCCAATCCACCGTCGAAGTCCGAACCAGAAGAGAGCTTTTGGGATACCTTGTGTGAAGTCTTTGTGGCTTTGGCGTGGCTATTGGGTATAATTTTTGTCTTACGTTTTATGCCCGTGCTGATCGCGAATTTACTTCTATTCTTTTTTTATGGTGGCGAGGCAGCTGATGGAGATTGGAGTGAGAAGGTGTGATCGAAAAAGTCTTGTTCGGGGTGGAAAGATTGGACCGAATTCTGTGATTTGAAGGTTGAGATTCTGAGAATTTAGGGTGGAAAAATTGTGAGAAGGGGAGTATGCCAAAATAGATTGTGTGTTATGAGATGTGAGATGAAGGTTTAGCATGGCAGAAGATGCTTAGGCACTGAAGTGGCTCTTGTCTTGACTTAAGGGAAGGAAGTACAGAATCAAAAATGATTGCGCGTTTATTTATGGGAGATCCAAGGAAGGATATCTGCATTTTCTGTTATCTTGAGTGTATATTAACGGGGTTTCGGGGCGTGGTCTGGGAGTTGTTTCTCACCAAGGTAGTGAACTTTCACTACCTATGTTTTATTTCTGCGACGAATAACTCATGATAAATGATGGTTGAATATCTCGTCTTCAAATGGAATCTTTACTTGTGATTGAATGTAAAGTATCGACGTGACTTAAACATAACACCACAAGCACTATCATCGAAGTATTTGTTGCCTCTTTCGAATGATTCAATAGCTAGAGCTCAAACATGCAGAAGGAACAGATCTTATATAGATTCACGCGTATCAAGGAAACAGGTTTTGTATACTTGAAAGAGCTGGTACAAGGTCTTGAGAGCAGATTGACTTTTATCCGGTCGGATCCAACAAGTCGAAGTCCAGCTGAATCTACTGAATCACAACATCGGTAGTAGTCTACCATAATCAAATTAGCCCCCGCTATCATAGACACGATTCATTCATGGGCAGATATTTGTAGGCTGTATGTTTAGCTTTAGCCTCAATATCAGCCGTAATTTACAACTCTGGGCAGACGATACTGTCTTGATAGGCCTCCACTTGAAAGCTGCCTTGTGCCGTGATTCTCTCGAGCTAAGGCATTTAATATGAATGAATGAAAACTCTTGGAATCTTGGAATCCCTCGAATCTACCATGGTCAGATATCAATTTGAGATATATTTTACCAACGCGTTCATCTCATGGAGCAGGTCTAAGTGGGCTCTCGGGGATTACAATCTACCACATTGTAATCAGAATTACCTGTTGTTTCAGAAGTCTACGATAATCCACACGAAGAAATCCCTATTCTGCGAGTAGAATTGAACAGCGTATGAAGATTAGTCCTCACTTGAGTTGCATGGTCTTGGTAATGGGGAGTCGTCGGATAATGTGAGGAAGAAGTGCGGGAATGATCCATCTTACGTAATCATTTCAGTCGACATTCCAAGCTCTGAGCTAATGGACCCCCAAGATCGGCATCTAGCTAGTCAATTAGACTGAGATGCGAACAACACCTTATGACTTTGTTTTGCTCCTTTTCCTGGATTATTCGAGCAACCGCGATTAAGAGGCTCTCTGCAGATTGATACACTTACTGCACAACACCTTTGATTCAAAGTTCCTGGGACAGCAAACTGAGTTGCCCCCCGAACAAGCCGAGCCTTTCGATTTAATGCTTTGCTATCTGCGGATTTCCTCGACCGCGGAACCACTAGTAGATTCGACCTCCTAGTGTACTCGACCTCCTAGTCTATGAAACATATCGACACTCAAATATGGCAATGAGGGTGAGTGCAGTGCATCGGGTATTTGAAATTCACACGGCATTTTGGGCAGTCAACTCCGATGAATCTATCGCGAAGCTTGCAAAGTCTCCAATCACTCGCGAAATAATGGCATATATGGAAGAGATGTAGCTGGTGCAGAGGTCTACGCATCAATGCTGGGGAGGTATCGCGAACGAAGGTCTTGCAGGATTGCCATGCGTTCAGAAGCTACGAGATGGTGAAAGTAGGGATAGCCATCAATGTGGTGGTTGCAGGAAAGCCTTCGGGCTGATTGCTGAGCTGCTCCGTCCCCCGACAAGCACTGCTGTTCAAGAGACCAATCTGCAACAAGATGGGCTCTAAGAGATGTTTTCATACATATTCAGACTACGAACCTCAAGATAACTTTCTCTGATACTTTTCTGGGGGTCTACCACGTCCTAGATGGCACATCTTTGAGCTAGGTTATTGATTACGATACGATTGAAGCAAGCACGGAAATATTGACAAAGTGAGGTCGATGTAAAAGGTCAACAAGGGCGAGACTCGAGCTCATCTCATCCACAAGAAATCTTGACTACATACTTTTGAATCCTATACCTGGTGTTATCAAGGAGTAGTTGCTCTAGCTTACGTTGCATACCAATGCTAGAGCTCGATATAGCTAGCTAGGAGCATAGAGAGTCTACCATGGAGGGTTTTGGTGAAACTAGAAATTTTACTAGTTTCTCAAATTGCCTTCAGAGCTTCAAATATACACATCGGAACGCGAGCTTGAAGGATATCGAGTAGTTGTTTTGCATGGCCAACAAATGTTCGCTCCTCTACATCCTTATCTCGCAACAGGCTCCAAAAGAAAAAGGATCAAGCATCACTGGACAATATATAAATTAACTACGCCAATTCCTATTGCACTCCGTATTTGCTCCTGTTCACGAAGCCTCGTCTTGAAGAGGCACGAGCTTACTTTTGGCTTGATCCATTCGACTATTGTAAATATCACAGCTCGTCCAATGATATTTTTCAATCATGAAAAGGACATTCTGTCTTTTCGCGAAGATCGCCATAACTACAAAGTGGACTGGAAGTCATACTACTTGCCTTTCTGCAGTTTCGTAGACCGAACAGATCTTGACAGGGTCCAGAATTCAGGGTTCGGAAGTCACATACCCAGCATAAAGTAACATAATTTGTATAGATTATACACAATTCTGTGTGAATGGAGACCATTGAAACAGGTATTTTGAGGTATGAGGTCACTAGAATTCAACTACGTGAAAAATCAATTTTGAAAAATTGAATGGAGATGAGTTGCATTCTGTGGACTTGTGTAACAAATAGCCCAATTTTACTAGCCTGGCGATTCAAAATCTACTCGAGAGAACTTGGAAAACGTTCTGGATGCCGTCAAACCCTGTTTGGAATCTGGAATTTTGCCTTGGACTTTGGAAAGAGAATCGGGACCCGCCGAAACACGATGGGGGTCACTTCTAGATCATTTCGAAAGATATGAGCATGCTTGCCGTTGTACATCCTTCTTTTCACGATGAATTAGCCCGGTATTTGAAGCTGGAGTCTCGGAGAAAGAGTAATATTTCCTGAATCGAACCCTACATCTTCAGTTCCGTGCATACATATGCAGTGAAACGGAAGGAAGCTCATCTTCTAGAAGATCTCCACCCCCAAATTGACATGCATTAGCTCTCCACAGCGCATAAAGTCGCTGCAGGAACTCCGGCTTTCTTCTTGGATATGGAAGGAGACAAGAAATAAGATTCTGATTGTGGAAAAGTCTCCTAAAATCCGCTTTACCTGCACATATTAACAACCTTTTTGTAGAATGCATTCTATAAATTCCAAATACCGGTCGCATGACCCCCACGAACCTATTTATCCAGGCACTTGGAGATTTTCGGTCCTGACACCGTCTTGGCTACATTATTTGTACAACAGGAAGATGCCGACCAAGGCGCTAAGTGTGCAGTCAGCGCGGGGTCAAAAGCCCCCTGAAATCATTCATGTGGATATTGAAAAGCTATATCTGCACGATCGGACGCATTCAACTTTCGTTTAGTTTCCTCCGCGTCTAGTTATTGAATACCATACCACCTTCCTCAATTCACTTCAACGCCGAACCCAAAGAACGTTCTGGAATAAAATATCTTTGGGCGTCAATATTCTTCAATAGTTCGAAGATTTTTAGGGATCGGGTTTGAAAACAGGGTTGAAAATGGGTCTAGTCAATCTAGGTCATGAAGCAGATCCCGTTCTCACCAGGATTGTTGATGAGGATAAGGTGGCTTGGTGGAGAAAAAGGAATTTAAGAATCTTGTATCTTTTGCTATATCCAACATGTATGGGGATTGAGATGACGTCGGGGTTCGACTCTCAGATGATCAATGGATTGCCGTTTATTCCTTCTTGGAATAAATGTGAGTTTAGTGTTTAGTAAGTTTATTGGTCGGAGGAATATTGATGATGAAATACAGACTTTGGTGAGCCGACGATTGACGGGGCTGGGAATTCGACGTATGCTCTGAAGGCAGAGCTTTTGGGCATTGTGGCTGCGGCATACAGCTTAGGTGCTATTTTGTCGGTGCCGTTCGTACCAATGCTTGCTCAACGTTTTGGGCGTAGGTGGTCCATAATGTTTGGGTCTATTGTGATGGTCGTTGGGTCATTTCTTCAGGGCTTCTCCATCAATGGTATGGCCATCTGAACACCTCTGATTGGGTATACACTCACCTTGAAACAGCTGCGATGTACATCGTTGCCAGAATGTTTCTTGGATTTGGTATTGTCTTCGCAATTGTCTCCGGATCAGCCATGCTTGGTGAATTAGCATACCCGAAAGAAAGGCCAGTTATGACTTCTCTCTTCAATGCATCTTGGTTTGTAGGATCTTTAGTTGCCTCCGGTATTACCGTTCGCACTGCAACCATCAATACAGATTGGGGATGGAGAATACCATCTCTTCTTCAAGCCTGTCCCTCACTTATTCAGATCATCTTCGTCTTGTAAGTATATCTTGAATTTACCAAGATACTCCTAACAACAGACAAAGCTTCCTGCCGGAAAGTCCTCGGTACCTTATTAGCAAGGACAGACGAGACGAAGCATTCGATATCTTGGTCAAGTATCATGCAGAAGGAAATCGTGATTCGGTATTCGTTCGTGCTGAAATGACTCAGATTGAAACAACGATCAAACTAGAAGTAGAAGCTTCTAAACGATCTTGGATGTCCATGTTGAGTACTCCTGGAATGAGACGCCGGGTATTTCTCGCTTCTGCTATGGGAGTCTTCACACAATGGTCTGGCAATACTTTGATTTCGTGAGTGCCCTATTCATTCGCTCATCTCATGATTTAACAAACCCAGATTCTACCTTTCCAAGATCCTTGCCATGATAGGTTACACGGATACCAACACTAAAACCATGATTAATCTCGGATCGACAGCTTGGTCTTTCTTCACAGGAACCTTAACTGCCCTCATAGTACCAAGGTATAAGCGCCGCACTATGTTTTTACTCTGTGCTTGTAGTATGTTCTTCGTGTATATAGCATGGACAATCAGTATGCAACGAGCTATGCTAGCATATGATACCAATCGGCCCAACAAAGCTGCTGCCATCACCACACTATTCTTTATATTTCTCTACTCGCCTTGTTATAATATTGGGAACAATGCACTTGCGTATAGTAGGTACCATCCTCTGACCTATCAAATGCCGAGATCCAAACCCACAAACCATACTAAAACCCCACAGCCTATCTAGTAGAACTCTTCCCCTACGCGGACCGTTCTCGTGGCATCTCCATCGAACAATTTTTCGTCCGAGCCGCTAATTTCTTCACCACCTACGTAAACCCCATCGGTATGGGCAATATCGGCTGGAAATATCTTATTATGTATTGTGTAACCATTTGTATTGAGATAATCGTGATATATTTCTTTTATCCTGAGACTCAGGGACGCACGTTGGAAGAACTTGCTTTTCGTAAGTGTTTGTGTCTTTGGTTTCGTGGAATTCGTATATCAACTTGCGAATCCAATTGAGCACCACTAACTGGAGATCTTGGGAATAGTATTTGAAGACAATGCATTGGCAGAGAAAGCTGCTGTGGCTGTGGAGAAAACCATACATTTTAACCACTGTGAAGAAGCAAGGACTGCATAAAACTGAGGCTGATATCCCGCACCCAATTGTGCGGAAACGGAACAAGATCGCATTCGTACATACTGCATGATTCAGCTGAAAAGAAATTTCTGATACTTCATATTTCTTTTGTTGTTTGTACTTCAACAAACCCCTATTTTTCAACATTTGTTTCTGGTTCCTTCAGCTATTTATCTGATTGTATACATCTTCAGTACAGGTAGAAATCGAACCACAACTAAGAATTTTCTTCAAAATCAAAAAATTAAGCTTCACATCTTGAAATCGTGAAATGTCAATACCTTATCAATAATAATCTCCAAACAACCTCCATCTCGCTGGCGCGTCCTTACACGCAAAGATCCCCACAATACGTGCACGTTCGCCGCGCGTTAATCTTAAATGACCAAAGTTCCCCATTTCCATCTACATACATATCCACTATAGGAAAATTTCCAAAAGCTTGACACCTATTCAGAAATCATGATTTGTGCTTGGCGGTCTTGAATGGATACCATATGGATCACATTGGTTTGCTATCTCTAGAACGTCAGCCGCGTCGTAAGGAGAAGAGGATGTATGCTTTCGGTTTGTACTGTGGGTAGGCTCATTCTCTGAGTCTTTGTGTCTTTGATATGTGAGAGTAAAGTCGATATGAGGTTTCGAAGAGTGCTTTTCCTTTTCTAGTAGATGTTATTTATTGCATTTGCGTCTTTTCCCGTTTCAAATTCTTAATTTTTTCTTTGTGATTTTCAACCCCTTTTCCCCTGAAAATTATCTTTTGTTTTGAGTACGCAGCGCCTTTTGATACCCTTCTGTTCAGCTATTTCATATTCGATACCCCTCTTTCCATAATCAAACTCCCAAATCACCTAATGCGGGGAATACAATTCACATACCTTATCCCCATCCTCTTTGGGCGTCTCATCAACGCGACTCCAGAAACCTTCCCTTACATTCGATCTACAGAATTTGACGCTGGAGATTATGGTGCCTATCCGAATCGCACTTATACGACACGCCCAGACTTGATCTCTCCTCGTCTGAATATCCTCCAACATGATCCGAGATGTGATGATGGATTATATACGATGATATCTCTCAGAGGTGATAAAGTGCATATCACGGGACAAAGCCCTATGATCCATGACCACCAAGGAAATCTCGTTTGGATGAATGCATCGTATGGAGAAACATTTGGGCTAAATGTACAGAGATACAAAGACGTGGATTATTTGACGTTTTGGCAGGGTGATGATTCGGTGGGGGGACATGGGGAGGGAGTTTATATCTTGGTATTTTTCTCAGATGTGTAGACATGTGATCTATACTAACTATCTCATCCAGCTAGATTCCCAATACAAAGAAGCCTACCGTCTAACAGCTGGCAACAACGCCTTAGGAGACCTCCACGAATTCCACATAACACCTGAAGGAACCGCTCTAGTAACCCAATACATTCTCAAAGAAATGGACATCCAATATCGTCGCCGCTTCCGTAAAGGCTGGGTTTGGGATTCCGTAATCCAAGAAATTAATATAGAAACCAACGAGATTATATTCGAATGGCACGCATCCGAACATTTCAACACCGAAGACTCCTATTTTCCAGCAGGGAGTGCGGGATTGAGAAGTAGCCATGGGTACGATTTCTTTCACATCAATAGTGTTGACAAAGATGGATTGGGAAATTACCTGATCAGTTCAAGATATTATCAATCCGTGTCTTATATTGATGGGAAGACGGGTGAGATTCTTTGGGAGCTTGGAGGAAAAAGGAATAGTTTCAAGGATTTGTCAGATGGGAAAGCTACAGCATTCAGCTGGCAACATGATGCCCATTGGACTACAGATCGTAAGGGAATTACCTTATTCGACAACGGGGCACGTTATGGATTGAGACCACAAGTTGAGAGCTCTCGTGCTATTCATGTATCCCTCGATCTTGAAGCCATGACTGCGGAAATCATACGCGAATATGTGAATCCGAGAAAAATCTTAAGTGCTAGCCAAGGTAATATGCAAGTACTCGAAAATGGAAATGTAATGGTTGGATATGGGTACAACGCTGCTTGGACTGAGTACAGTTCTGAAGGAGAAGTTCTCTGTGATGTTCATATTGGATCTCAAAAGACATTCAATACAGGAGCGGTGCAGACATATAAGGTGTTGAAACATGCATGGATTGGCAGGCCCGATACAGTGCCGGATGTGAAGGTGGTGCAGAACAACGTGTATGTTAGTTGGAATGGGGCTACGGAGGTTAGAGCATGGGTTCTGGAGGGAGCGAAGGCTGGCAGGGGAGAAGGAGGCGAAGAGGAATTTCACATGGTAGCTGAAGTTCAGAAGAGCGGGTTTGAGACTAAAATCTTGTTTCAGAGAAAAGCTTGGTGTTGGGTGAGAGTTATCGCTATTGATGGCGAGGGTGTAAAGCTGGAGACTAGTGAGATTTGGGCTACTGGAACAGACTGTAAAGATACGGTATGTTATTCTCTTACTGACTCCCATCGACTCGTTGAGATGTCCCAACTAACGATTCAACAGATCGATCTACCCGAGACAGAGGAAATAAAAGAGGAAGAAGAAGAGGCTGCAAAGCCATTGATACCATCAAGGTTTGTATTAGAAGTAATAGCGCTTGCAGGATTTGCATTTGGAATGTTGGAGTTATGTAGAAGGAAGTTTTGGAAACGGACATTGTCCAGTTTCGGATATAGAGTGCTCCCTATCCAAGCGCAGGATTAAGGTGCCGGGAAATGATGTTTTTAATGATCAGAAATGCTTTGAATTCTTTGATGTTGTGAATATACTTGGCGTACTCATGACCTTGACTTCTTGGCTATTGGCGCCCAGAAGCCTCTTCTGCGGCAATGGAAAGCTGCCTTTCCCAATTAGGATTGACAATTAAACAGCCGCACATCATGCTATGTGGAGAATATCACAAATTTGGGAAATATAATGGATGAAAAATTTGCGCAGTTCTTGACTTCAAGAGAACTGGCCCTTTGAATTTGATATGACTTTTATTAACCCTCTTCGTAGTTATAGCCCCCACAAAACGCCAGACACCATTCTGATATGCATCATCGAACATCCAGAGAGAACCTCATGCTTCGGTAGTAACAACACCGCCAGCATCCTTCCACTTTTGTACTCGTCTTCTGATGTCCGATTCCGTTTGTTGCATGGGATTCAATCTTCTGTCCCTGACCATGGCTCCGTAGTTCTCTCCCCATCTCTTGACCAACTTCTCAATCCATTCTTTCTCCCTCTCACTCTGTTGTCTCTCCCTCTTCTCGCCTGCTCTTGAAGCTTGTTCCTCCAACATCTTTACAATCTCGTTTTTGGATGCGGAACCCTCCTCATTACCGAAACCTTCGAAACCTTCTCCATCCTCGTCATCCGAGTTCAGAATATCGTTCAATGGATTTGATTTCTTCTCATCGTGAATGACCCTGATAATCTTTCCAGTCTCTGGATCTCTCTCGACTCGCGCTTCAGTTGGTGCAAAGTTCTTTGGAATTGCATTCGAGATGGCGAGCTTGTTCGCAGTGGAGGTTTTTGATTCGGATCCCGCAGTCTTCTTCTCGATACCACCGGTAACGGTATTGAGACGACTAGTTAAGCCAAGGCGGCGGTAATTTTGTGTAAGAGTTTCATCTTGTCTCCTGCGATAAGTGATTAGGATTAATTGGAAACATACAAAGCTGTGTAGCAAACTTACCAGTTTGCAGCGACGATTGCATTGCCTAAAGGATTGATACGCTTAGACTTTGGCTTGTGCTTGATCTTATTGTTTCCAGATCTGTTCTTCTTCTTTTGGAGTTCGCGACCCATTTTCTATGATTGCAGATGATATATGAGGTGGTGGAATAAGATTGTTTTGATAATGTATTGTTACCTCTCAAACTCTAACTTCGAAAATCTTCACATTGAATTTGAAAAATTCGAAGCTAGCCTTATCAGCGAGCTTATCATCACATGATTCAGATGATCCATTTTAACATTTCAGATCCCGTGATCCAGTCGCGTGACTCTCTTCCTCTTGTAGAATCGACCTCGGCCCCGAACAGCCTTTTTTTAGTCGTCTCATGTATATCTTCATCATCTCGATCTAATCATGGAAGCGAGAGACTTAAGCAGTGTCTTAATATATACTTGCATTGCGATTAAGCAACTCTCATCACATATGTGAATGTCTTCATCCCAAGTGGGCCTTACATACCTCCAGTTGTGCCTGTCTAGCTGATTGAACTAGAACAGTACAAATGTATATTGCTTCCGCGTGTCCAATAACGTCTCCGGAGATGTCAAAAGTTAACACGGAAGAACCCCCACTCCCCCAATCCCCACGACTTAGGTACTAGATACTTATCTAAAGTATTGTTGTCAAACAAACAGTGATCCAATGCTAATCTATGGAGGTGCACCTATCTAAACGAGAATGGTATTTTCTCCGGGCTTCATATCCGTCAGAATCGTACCTTTCAGCATGGTGTGAATATAAAATTCTGGGATATATATGGACTTGGTTGGTTGTTCATCGGATAAATTCATCGGATATTTGACAACATGTCACTATTTCTATACCGATGGTAATATCCGAAATCGAGGACGATTAGGTATGAATGCTGAAGAAATCTATTTTGCTTTGCTACACGGAGCATGGGCAAAATGCTGTGCACTTCGTACCCCCACAAAGTTGTCTTACTCTCTTCACGATCTACCTCATCTTTCCTATTCTCTTCTTTTCAGCCTTTGCCTTTGAATATTGATTTGTCAGTGGAGGAGGATGAAGAGGCGAAGTCCTAAAAGGATCAACAGCCAATCCCAACGCAGCTGGTGTAACGTTCCATCACAGTCTGTAGATTTCTCGCTTGACAAGTGACTTGAGCAGTAAAGAAATATCTAGACCAATCAGCAGCAAAATATTAAGTGCGAAAGGATTTCGGAGTAGGCGGCGAAGTTCGGCAACGGACAGCGCGATGAGAGGCTAGCGGTAGGATTCAGTTCCCGTTAATTCTTCTTGATCCCCTACAGACTGCATCTATGACTTCTTCAAAATAGCCGCGCAAAAAATCATAAAGAAGGCTGTTGTATCATATGATTCGCATCGTTAACCATCCATTGATCATTCATTGATGTCGGTAGAGCAACTTTAGGCCAAGTCCGTCAATCTACTGAGGAATTGAGATGGTGGGCTGGTCCACCTTGTGGTGCGGGTAAATGAGATAGGTCAACTTGGCATATCCGAGACATCACGAACGATGGCGTATCGGAGATATTACCAATCTTGATAACATTGCTGCGTGCTAGATAGGACGCCAAATAACCCAAAATTTGACAGACCTTGAAAGTTCTATTAGACTTTCTCACAACTAGGTCTTAAATTCTATTGTTAATCGCCCGTTGTCATGATTTCCTTGTTGTTTCGTTAGCTCCCTTACCAATATGTACTCCGTTAATGTTTACTGTCATTATTGTGCTGAACCACCGAGCCACCATGATTCCCGTAAAGTTTAAACAACTAACCTTGCTGATATTTCTAAAAACACATATGCTTGTGAACCAAAAGTTGTCCAAATTTGACTTCAAGAAGAATTAGCTCGTTACTTCGGCTGATCGCTGGAAGGCATCTTTGAACTTTTTGACTTGTACCTGAGACAGCTCGAGGCTAGCAAACCCTCGTAAATTATAAAATTGTACATACATCCGGATCAGACTGGTCTGAAAAATGAGGAAAAGTAGCTGGATATCGCCCTGCTTTTGATGAGATACTGACTCGCGATCAAGATGAAGGAAACGACCGGCAAAGTTGTAACCTCTGAGGGATTAACAGGGATCTATCTATCCCCCCTGATCCACTTCCACCGGAGTTGAGAAGCCACACCGAGGCATCTAAAGCCTGCAATTGGAAGGATTAAAGATATCATGTAGGCACGGATTTGCTAAAGCATATAGGTGAACCGATTGGAAGAGCGCTGGAGGAGAGCTGTATGTTAAGGTTATATGTTTGTGATATAATATTGCTTTGTATCGTTCTTCGGGGAGTTCCATCGTGGCGCCAATTCCTTCTATGCGTCTTCGAAAGCTTCTAGCTCGTATCCACTCTAGGGAGTGCAATCAAATCTTGTTGAAGAGAGGCTTTACAAGGATTGATCGGCTTGGTTGCGGTGCTCGGTTTGTGATTTGCCGAATCAACCTTTGGGGGAGCCGCCAAAGATTCATTTTATTTCATGCAGCGATTGTCTAACTTGTCTTGCAGTAACATATACGGGAATCATACGGAAATACTACACCCCTCTTGTGAATTTCGTTGATGATCATCAAGGATTTTACTTTGATTTGAGGTCCAGCCGTATAGATTCAACAGATCTGCAATTGTCTAGATTGGACCCTTAATCAATGGTCATGCGTATCACAGTGTATGTAATAACAATGATTCTGTTTGTCAGAATCATTACTATTCTTATCATCCAGTCTTTAGCATTCATCCAGAGGTTTGTGAAAGCGGAATGAAGATCATGAGGGGGATCCTAGTGCAAAATGGCCCATAATGAAGGCTAGTCGACGGCCAGATGCATACAAATTGATACAATATGGAGTATGATTGATATGAGTGGCTCGGAAGACTTGATATCATTTTGTGGGTGTTTCTTGCTTAGTCCAATCGAAAAATATGATGAAAGAAATATCCAACTGCCATACAGAAGGATGAAGTAGATTTTTTTCTACGAGACTCGAATGAATCCTATCCGCACCTTACCAGTAGCTCTTCTCTCATTTCTTACAGTTTTGCGTCTTTCGCGCTTTATTAGCTGCAGAATATAAACGAGCTTGAGCTCTGCAGGCAAGTAACCAATCGTATACTAGTTTGCTACCCAACCTCATTAAGACCCATGATGAAGTTAGTTCTTCATGGACAGCTCAGACATGAAAATACATACAATACCCCTCATTAGGTACGGTCAGTACTACCCTCTCCTGCATTCAAATGCAAATAGTATAGTGCTTCTTATCTATTAGCAATCTTACCGGATGTAATCAGACGCTTTGTGCCTTGATCGCACATTGCGTCAGACTGGGATCAAAGAGTCGAATTACAGCAATTTCCTTTCCATCGCCCTTCATCATTTCAATGTCCTGGGTAAAAGTCCTAACTATGCCTTGCATTGTCACATCAACAATCTCGTCATAACGCAACTTTAGTATTGCAACACGGGATATGAACGCTTTCTTGATGTTTTGCACAAGTAAAACAGGGCCAAGGCGAGCTAAACATTGTCAACGGCCGGGCTACTAATTCAGGCATGTGCACGGCAGTACCGAACAATCAGGGGAGAAATAGAATCATCGTTTGCCTCCCCACCGATACTGCATTTTAGTGGTTGCTTGACGCCAGTGGCTTGTCGACAGTTACCTGTTACTTCTCATCTCCGAAATTCCTACACTCTGTTTTAAGCCATATCTGTACCTATCATTTTTAAACTCCTCTCGTCCAATAACTATTATGGGAAATGATGCTAGTAAAATGGGACATGGGATTTCATGACGGTCCAAGATATATAGAGCCTGTTAAAACTAATCATAATTTAGAACCCGGTTGTTGTATGGGGTCTGCTGGCACTTCTCGAGATAGCTTCCGCAATGGCGAAATATCCCCCCGGCTTTCAGATCAACCTCCACGGCACAGAAAATGAACGGACATGCTTCAGTGGATTGATTGTGGATTGAGACATATTAAG